TTTTACCTGCAGAAAGCAAGCTTATGGAGCACCGTTCACTACACAGAGCCATAAGTCACTGAAAATCTATGCAAAAAATACAGACAATTTAATCTGCGTGACTTAAAAAATGGAAAATTATCATTCTGTGATTGACAGCTGTTTGGTTCACTTCTCAGTTAACTCTGTGTTGGTTCTAGGGTTGTGCCGATAGATGATAGTATCGTGTATTAAAGATAGACAAAGATATCACCAGGAGCCGAGACCTATGATGATTTTAAAGATGATATATATAGCTTGTTTCACATTATTGTAGACATATTACATGTTTTAATTGCATTATTGAATAAAATGAACAGTATTATTATTTTTAATCATCATAATTAATACAAAATTTACTACAAATATTATGACAGCTTCAGCTGTTTAGATTAACATCACTTGACCTACACTTTTAGATAAAAATGAATTGTTTCGATTGCTTTTGCTTTGTTAAAAATAATAGACTGAATAACAAATCTGGATTTAATTAACAAACAAGTTCAATAAATCGATTGTTCCCCAAAAAAAAACATTGCGGTCGTTGGTAATTTGAGACTCCTTTATAACAGAACTCCTGCAAGATTCTCTCTTGCTTTCACAAAACAAGTTATTTATCTTTTATATCTGTTATTATTAGCCTATTTAAGTTTTAAAGTGGCCTATTTATTTAAAAACACGAAATATACATAGCCTACTTGTTTTATTTGTGTTTAATTCGATGGGATGATAAACACGGACATGCACATTATTCAGAAAATAACCTATTTCTTTTATTTAAAAAAATGTTAGGCTTGTATTTATTTATATAGGCTATTAAAATATTTCATTTATTTATTTAAACTAGCCTACATTAAACTAAATTGCAGCCTGTATTTTACCATTTGTTTTGGCATTAAATGATTATTGAACAGATTATTAATAACTTATCAAAAACATTTTACTGAGTTTTAGGTCAAATAGGCTATTTAATATTAGAGCAATAGGCTATTGCCGACACGCCGCAGCCATGTCTAAAATGAAACTCTCATCAGAAAAATGAAACTCTCATCAGAAAACGATAAACACATATGCCGAGCGCAACATTGTGTTAGGTTTTAGCAAATACAAATGTGACACTGTTGATGATTACTTTTGTAATGATTAGACCTGAAGCCGCGCCGCGCTCAACTGAACAAAAACATGGAACACTTCACCGTCATGTGCGGGCGACGAGTCCTCCATCTGCCTCCCCTCTGAAAGGACCTTAATGCATCCGTAATCCATAGTGCAATTTTTTCCATGCGTAGATAAATATAATTTAATTTTCTTTCATCCATGTTTATTATATCCATTTTGCGGCACTTCCGCGGGCCGAGGATAACAGCATGAACTCGAAGTCACCATCAAATCCTGTCCCGCGCCGCACTGTTGCATCGAGTATTGTTTGAAATAATTTTGGTCTCAGCGCCTATTTAGCTGTAAGAGCGCAGTGATTTGCATTAGTTTTAATTATTATCTAATATCAAATGTAATGCAAATGCAGTAGGTTAAATAAATAATAAAAAAAATCAGCCAAAAGGTTATTAAATATGTTTAGATATAGTTAAATATATCAATGAAATATTATATATATAAACATAACACTGCGGCAGCCCCATGCGATAGTATCGTGTTTCAGCGATCTCACAGCGGGAGGATATGGCGATCTGAAAATTTTGGATATCGCCCAACACTAGCTACATCTGAAAGTAAATAAAAATACCACATTTAATAACAAGGTTTACTTTAATCTCACCTCATAACATCAGTCGAATGTCTTAAATAATTCGTTCTTTGAGATGATTCCATAGTCATGTTTGCATGTTTTATTAGTAGGGCTGTGCAATTAATCAAAATCGAAGCGCAATCGCAATTTGAAACGTTGTGATTAGTTAATTACAAGAGGCTGCAATATAAAATATATATTTACATATGTAAACAAAAATAACAAAAAACATCTGCGGTAAAGTGCTTCAAAATCAGTCTGCTATGGTTCAGAAAATTAAACATGATAGACTTTCTGTGATTGGTGTTGTGAGGCATTGCAGACATGGTATCGGTTGTCATGAACTATGCCTGTACACGAGAAGAAACAATTGAATATTGTGTCACAATATCCATTTACGACACTCTACGTCAAGAAAATCATGACGAAATCTTGTGGTCTGACCGGGGCTTTATAACTAGCCAATTGAATGAGTACACATTCGTTCTGCCTAATCAGAATTGCGCTACTGAACTATGCCCACAATAAAAAAAAAAAAAGTCTAATCGCAAAGTCTGTCAAAAATATCGCAATTAGATATTTTCCCTAAATCACACAGCCCTAATTATTAGTCACATTAAATCAATAAAAGCAATTAAACCTGATGTTAGATTTACTGGGTCTCTGTTTTGTGGTGTATTTGCTGTTTCAACACCCGCTCATTTGGGAAAATGTGCAAAGTCGTGATGGCTTTCCCCTAAAGTTTGATTGGCTTCTCTTATGGACATGCAGGAGAAGGACAGTTTAGAGTCACACTGCTGTAGACAACCCTCTTGAATGATCTATTATAAGGTAGTGAAACTAAAAAGCTTCGCAGTGTTTCCCAGTCACCTGCTCATACCCTGGAAGTAAAGCTCAGCTGCTCGGCATTTGTTGTGGTTTGAGGCATGTGTATGTCAGAGGAAGTCAGCGCGTTTACAGCCGTACATGAAAGGATGATATTCGACACCTGCTATGACCTTATAAGGAAAAACTAAGAGCCACAGATTGTTGTCATCATGTATTGCATCACATTTAAATGCTAAATATTAGACAATAGAGGAGCACCTGCGCTACTAGCAATGGTTTTCAAACTGATTTAACATCAAGTTAATCTTAATGCACAATACTGAACGATGTCAATTTGTGCACATTAGGGATGCTCAAAATAACCGTTAACCGAAAGGGTTTGTTTGTAACCGATTATTGGTATCAGTTAAATGATTTAAAAAAATAATTTTATATATTTGTAAAAGTTTAACTGCATAAGGGGCCGATCACAGCGAATGAGCTTTTTGTGTTGAGAGACGCATCTTTTGGATGGTTAACTAACAGCTGCATTTTACGCTCTGCTTATGTTTTTGCTGTGCGCTCGCAGTTAAAATAAAAGTCTACCCTGAGCGGAACAAGCACATTACGTCAGTCACATTTTTTTATTCTTAAATCAAATAAAAGCAGAGGCGGGGGTGACAGCAGTGTTTGTGTTGTCAAGACGACTGCAGAGAACTATAGTGGTCACTGTTTCAAGTTATACGGAGCTGTATTACTTTACCAATCTTGACTATCACAATATTATAAAATATTCTTCTTTTTTTTTTTGTCAACAAAAAGGCAGTGAGGTGGGATGTAAAAGCACGTTTTGGAACGTAAAAGGGCGTTCGGTGTGATCAGCCCTTAAATGTGCAACACATATTTATTAACTCGCGGGACAGTAACACGTGCAAACACACATGCCTACGGATGTATTTTGCCAAAGAAGCAAAATGTTTGACACAGACAAGTTGATGTTCTGTTGTTAATTTGTTCTCATATTAACATAAATCAGTATTTTAAAATGCAATATTTAATGTGTTAGACACAAAATGGACACGTAATTTTTTTAAATCAAATATTAATTTATTAATCTGACCAGTTAACCGTTAAAATTCGGTTAACGAGCGGCGGTTGACTGTTTGCTAAATTAACCGAAATGAGCATCCCTAGTACAAATTAAATTTATTAAAATTAGTTTAATATAACACATTTCAGAACACATTCACTGTTAAAGTTACAGTGCAATCAGGATACATTTTTTGTATCAGTATGCTAGTCGTAAGGATATCGATAAGCTAGTTTACTCTAAAACGGTGACAGTTCACATTTAGAAGATATAAACATCGAAAGCTTGCAGTTTGTCACTTCGGCTTAAATGTTTTTTTGGACGTCACCTCATACTTCAGTTTCTTATTAAACCTTCTGACCAATCAAATGCTCTCTAGTATCTGACACGTCCCCTTTAAGATGCTTCTCATTTGCCTTTCATATGATGCGCTTGATCTCAACCACTCTCACTGGCTGAGATGAGATAAAAACAAAAAGGTACTGGATGTTTTTTTTTAAAGGGAGGAGCTACTCTGTCCTGCCTGCTCTATCTTTGTTCCAGTAGAAATTATGTCACACATCGAACAAAAACATCTCAAAGCACTTCATGTCAACTTGAATTTGTACACGAAGGATTGACAGGTGTGGTTTGATTAACAAACTCTTTTGTGATTGCTGTTAGTGTGGTTCAAAAGAGTAAGTGTGAATGCTGCCATCTAAACATTGGTGTTCACCATATAAGCCAACCGAAACTGCTAAAGAGGTCTTGTTCCTCCTCCAAACACACTCTGGTGTGGCACGACTGAAATATGAATGCAACATGGATGAAAGACATCTAAATTTAAAAATGGCACAATATGACAATATTACAGCCATTGAAAGCATTTTATACATCATTGTAGCATTTTTGCCAGATACAGTTCTGTACAAGTGTTGGCAATGTGTCTCATTGTAGCAGATCTTTGTTTGTTTGTGACAGAGGAAGTTCTGATACTGTTTTGACTCCCAATGTATAAGCTCTACATGAAGTCTGAACTGATAAATACAATTTTTATGTCCTGTATTATAAATTTCTGTCTTTAAAATGGCAGTGTGAGCACTTGATACTAATCAAAACCCACTTTATTTTAATCCAGACCAAAAAAACAAAGAATTTCAGTTCATTTTCAGTACATATTTCATTCATTAGCCTTTTAAAAGTATTGCGTTTCTCTATCTATTCTCATGTATCAGCCAAAATACTCCATTAGTGTTATTGTGTATTGATTAGTGATCAACATTTTGCTGAGACATGCTGTTGTGTTGTTAAATTACTGACTATTGATCTTTTTTTTTTCCTTTTTTGTGTCCTTTCTAGATCCTCGCTGGGCGTCTGTGAACAGAGGAGTGTTGATATGTGATGAGTGCTGTAGTGTTCACCGCAGTCTGGGTCGCCACAATTCACAAGTGCGCCATCTGTCAAACACATCTTGGCCGCCCACCCAACTACAGGTGAGACACCCTAAGGTTACTTTTATTAGATTTGCACAAATTTAAAAATTGACAGTGTGATATTTAGTTTTTCTGCTTTATACTTCTATATGAAAAAATAGAGTAATGTTCAGGTAACATGGAAGAATTAGGCATTCTAAATTAGTGGTATGGCGATGTTGGGTAAATTGGCAAACAAATTGACATTTTTGAGTTGAAGTTAAAATAATTTAAAATGAATTGTAGATTATCCATGATTATTATTATTATTATTATTATTGTTTAATTTTATTACTATTAAAATATTAATTACCTCTTGTTAAAAATGCTGTTGTGCTATTACATCATTCATTTTTATGACATTTTTGAGGCAAAAATCTGGATCTTAAAGGGGTGTTCCACAAATGCTCTGAGATCACAAATGTTTCAGGGTACGTGCAGTCATCATGCACATGCAATCCACGCAGCGAAGGCGTGTGGTTAGAGGCGCTGTAATGTTAAAGCAGAGAGAGCTAAAATGGCGTCCAAATGCTGCTAGTTGCGGCACATTTATTAACAAAACACTGATGATCCATTTCTCCAAACAACTCTTCTTCTTTCACTTGTTTTAATTACAGTTAGCAACAGAACACTGTAACAGGTGAAAGGAGTCCTCAAAGCTATATTATGCATATTAATGAAGTTGCACCTCATTGATTCAATTATTGTCCTTCACAGTAATCCAAAGAAACTCTTATAAAGAGTGAGTGTAATCTATCATCCTCACCTGCGCCATTCAATTTAAATGATCGCCATGCTGCACTGGAAGTTGACATGCGGAAAACGCGGAAGAGATCGTGCAAAGAGTCCGCTTACGCAAGGATCTCATCGCTGTGACAGCTTTCGAAGAAGGAATTTGCTCGAAATAATGCAAAAACAACCATTTTTTACTTTTTTTTTTAAATATATGTGTCCTAATAGTGTTTTTAGCAGTGTGGGTTTTGGCGTTTCGTGATCCTTTAACAAAATATATATATATATATATATATATATATATATATATATATATATATATATATATATTTTACTGTCTATTTGTCAACTACCTATATTACAAGAACTAACAATTCATTTACAAATCTGCTTCTCAATCAGTAACATAAATCTATTTTAGTAACCATCAAGTGAATTACAGTTTTGGAAATGGATGAAGATAAAAGCCTCTCTTTAACGGTAAAGCAATAATTCCAACCTGTACAGAATTCACATTCATCGTTTTAATCTTTATAGTTGGCCATTTCTATTTATAAAGTCAGTTCTTTTGATTTAATAAACTAATTATTAGCCAAAAAACACCCATGCAAAGAGATTCTAGATTCTATTTTAATTTGAAAATGGAAAAAAAGACAAATTTATGTGCTTTTTAAAGAGGTATTTTTTCTTAATCCATCAATGGGGCCTTTTGAATGGTTATAAGACTGTGATTTATTGGAGTGTGACCTCACTGGAGGGCTTTCCAACAGAGAGTGTGAGTCACTAAGCATATTTAAAGGAGCATGTTGTCATGATGAATTTCTGTCTTGTGATGTATGCCCTCAATTTCTTTCTCATTCACAGATGGTTCAGACATTATACAACAATGGCGCTAATGCAATATGGGAGCACACTCTGCTGGACCCGTCATCCATCATGAGCAGCAAACGCAAGCCTAATCATCAGGATAAACTCCAGTGAGTATTACAACGTGACCGAATGATGCATGTCTGATATATACTACTGTTTAAAAGTTTGCAGTCTGTAACCTACATATTTTTGAAAGAAATTACTTTATTTTTATAACATAATTTTTTTTAATTACACTAAAAATAAGTTTTCTGTTTATTCAAACTACTTCTGTAAAATGAGATGAAACAACACAATTCTTGAGGGTTTTTTGGGATAACTTAAATGTTGTATGTTTAATCTACTTTACTTTGTCAAATCTAATCAGCTAACTTAATTCCTTCATGTTGTTCCAACACAAATCAATTGTGTGGAACCCAGCATTTTTTACAGTGTAGGGGCTGGGTGATAAAATGGTAAAAATATTATTGTGATATGTTTTATAATTATTGTAAATGTTGTAATTTAGCTATAAAATAAATGTGCCGTTGTATTTATACTTGATGTATTCAGGCTAGTGTTATTTGTGTGGGTTCATCAATGATTGCTATGATCAAAATATATGAAGATATGTGTATGATATGGGTATGTAGTCTTAAAAGCTTCTTGAAATAACCAATCAAACATCTAATATAAATGCCACAACATTATTACGGATGCAGGAGCGCTGTTATTTACATTAGAGTACAAATGAAAATCACTGCACATAAATTTGTGCATCATCTGCTGTTTACTCACCACTGTCATTTTTGTTGCATCTTTATTTTGTTATTGAGCGGAAAATATGCAGGACATCTATCTAACTGCCACCACTCACTAGTATTTCCAGGATATTTCCTTATTGTTATGGTTAGGGTAGTCTATGTTTCATGCTCAGTTAATCAGCTGGCAGTCACTTAAGTCAGTTACAGTCACCAGACTGTACCTGTTAACTAAAGGCTGGGACGTATCAAGCTGACTAGCATTGACGAAACCATTTATAGACGAATTTGGATTGAGACTTCATCATCTTAAAACAAATTCAAGAATGGTCTCCGCGATAAGGAGGCTAGTTCCATTAAGGAATGGATTTTTTTAAAAAGTGGTTGTGCTGTTCAATATATAACTAAATCTTCTACCTTCTCCGGGGATGATTGAAAACATGTCTTAAAATCTCAACGCACAACACCGCCCCACGCATTGACGAAAGCCAACTGTGTTTTGTCCTCGTGTCAGCTCAAGCCTGGACCAAAAACCTGCGCATGAACACTCCAAACAGATCAAATCTGACTCAAACGAAAGTAGTGTTTTGCGCATGCATGAGAAGTTGTGTCTTTCTGCACCCACGGAGGGCAGTATCTGTTTTCTCATTCCAAATGGCAAATCTGAACTTCCGACATGTGTGTGCAAAGCATAAACAAAGCAGTGTTTAGTACCATTATCACAGTAATTCTCAAACGTCATGGAGGGATTTGCTTGTGCAAATAAGTCTGATAATTAAATAAAAAAAAATTCGCAAATATTTGATAAATGTAGCAAAATTACAGCAAGCCTCTTTGTGTTTGACTTGAATTGTTTTAGTTTGCTGAATAACCAGTCAGACGTTTTTATCTGTCGATGGCAATTCTACATGCTGAATCAAACTTCGACATTAAGCCGACTAGAGGCGTCATGTGGAACACACTAAAACAACTTGCCGGACCATTGCTGACTGATGGACTGACGAAGCTCAATGACCGACCGTTAGCTTAGTGTGTCCCTGCCTGAATATTATAAAAGTTAAGAGCTTTGGCTTCAAACTGACCACTTCAAACACTGATTGTTAAAAAGTAGATGAAAAGCTAATAGAAAAGTTTTTAAAACCTTATCGAGCCATCCAATTTGGGAGAGGAAGCACTTAGCAGCCACACAAACAATAGAAAAATATTTAACATGTTTAGAGAAATCTGAGGTATTTTATCAATTGTTGTTCTTATAGTTTTTATTAAAGTCGTGCACAATGATATTCATGCTAAAAGAATTTTATTACTATGGTATTATTCTAACATACAATTCATAAAATATATAAGCACAACTTCAGCCTGTTTTCCATTTCATTTGATGTCATGGAATTATAGCGCTTTAGTCAATGAAATTCATTGAAAAGACAGGGAATTTGATATTGCTCTTGAAGTGGGAACCCCGTATTTCAAATGTCTTTTTACCCCATAAAATTTGGCTTTGCCATAACTAGAGAAAATTCGAATTTAGAAAATAGTCAAATGGAAATCACTTATTTTAAATTGTAATGATATTTCACATTATTGCTGTTCATACTGTATTTTTGATCAAATAAATACAACCTCAGTGAGCAAAACAAAAGAAATACATCAACTGTTGACTGGACCTAATAGTCCAATTATGATTTCTTTCACCCCAAAAGCCCCAACAAGGCAGACTTCATCAAAGCAAAGTATCAAATGCTGGCTTACGTCCATCGTTTACCATGTCGAGATGATGACAGTACAGCTGCCGCTGATCTAAGCAAGGTATGAAAATGACTTTCCTGTTTTATCCTTTATGGACTTCTCGATATTGCATCAACATTGTCTTTTAAATAGTTTTGAATGTCTTTTTTTAGGCTTTACCTTCATTTTTATCGTGTGTGCTGGAGGAACTCTTTTTTTTTTAAAGGGACAGTACACCCAATAATGAAAGTTCTGACATTTTACTCATGATTCAGTTGTTCAATTTATACGTTTCTTTACTCTTTTAAACACTAAAGAAGATATTTTGATGAATGTTGGAAGCTGGATACCATATTGTTTTAGTTTTTTTGTTCTTCTGTTGAAGTCAGTGAAGTCATCAGCTGTTTGGCTACCAGCATTCTCCAGAATGATTTGGAACAACTTCATTGTGTAAATGGTTAATAAGTTTCATTTTTGGGTGTACTGTCCCTTAAGAGCCGCTTGAGAGTGTTTCTTTCTTTTTTTTCCTGCTACTGGGCTGATTGAAACATCTTTGTTGTTGCACTTTGTCCTATTATATATTTATTTTTTTAGCAACTTCACTCCAGCGTTCGAACAGGCAATCTTGAGACTTGTTTGCGGTTACTGTCTCTTGGGGCTCAAGCTAACTACTTTCATCCGGTAAACACCTCTGTTTTCACTTTAGTTTATCACATTCAGTTGCATTTGAAATGCATATTTAACCTTTCTGCATTGATTCCAATAGGAGAAAGGGAACACTCCGCTGCACATCGCGGCTAAAGCAGGTCAAGTGTGCCAGGCTGAGCTTCTTTGCGTTTATGGGGCAGATCCTGGAGCTCCAGACTCCAGCGGCAAAACACCTATCAACTATGCAAGGTAATCAATAGCTACTGCATTGATGCTCCCAAGCCACTGGCCATTGAAATCTGCATTTATTGATTACTTCCTATGTTTTATGTCAATGTGGATTAGATTTGTCAGAGATTTGTCTTGTGGCTTATACTGACACGAATATCTATATTAACACAATGGCTGCTTTGTTTTAGCATTATTAATGTATTTATTATTACTATTTAAAGTATATGTTAGTATTTATTTTTAATTGACATTTTTATAAAAAAAAGTTAAGATTTTTGTTGACCTTTTTTTTTTGTTTTTTTTTTGTGAACTTAATTTTGTATTTAATTTTAACTTCAAGTTTCAGTTACTTTCCAAAGCAAGTCTTTTTAATACTTTACATTAAAATCTCATAGTAAACATATACTACTAATAAGCAAACATTTTAGATGTTTAGCCAGAAACCTTTTTTTCACAGGCCTATCTTAAGGGTTAATGCTGCCAACTCATTATCAACAGTAAAAATTATAAATTGTACCTCTTGTACCAACAAGGAAAACCACAAACAATCAAAAATGCAGGATTATATGCTGTCTAAGCTTTGCTATCCAAAACAGTTGTTATAATGGAAGTCAAAGGGGCAAAAACACCCATTTGCAATTTGAACAATACAAAGAGTTGAATTTTGATTCCTATTACTGTAGTACAGTTTTCAGACTATAGTGTTGAGGGCAGCATTTGGCACATGACCTTAAAGTTCATAAATAACAATAAAATCTAAGCCATAACATCTTTGTGTTGTTTGTAATCAGGCAGGCTGGCCATCAGGACCTGGCAGACAGACTGGTGGAAATACAGTACGAGCTGACAGACAGGCTGGCCTTTTACCTCTGTGGGCGGAAGCCTGGTGAGTCAGATGTTATCATGATATGAACTGATGTTTCGATATCCAGCTGTATGCATGAAACCTTTTTACAGCACACTTTTACGTTAATCAGATCATGCTATGGGTTATGGTCTTAAAAGCTCCAGATGTCTCAGTAAAATACCACAGAGATGCTGACGCAAGCTTGATGTGTTTTAATGCATCAGTGTGCATCCTTATCAGTGGATTGTCAATAGTAACTAATTCCAGTATGTCAATATATTCTGTTTCAGATCACAAGAGTGGACAGCATTTCATTATACCACAGATGGCAGACAGGTATTAATGATCTGATATTTTAAGATATTGTTCTATTAATGAGACTGGTGGCATTTTTGTTGTTGTTGTTGCTGTTGTTGTCATTGTCGTAGTAGTCATTAGCTACACATTTTGGAGATGCGCATAAAAAAATCGGTTCATGGAAATGCCAAGATGCAAATAAATTTGAAAATCCGCTTTAAAATTTATGTGCATAACTGAGTAGGATAAACTTCCTGTTCGATAGGAAAAGATGCGCATAAACTATATAACAGTATTAGTGTTATTATATTATTAATGACCTCCAGAATCAAGAGCATCTGTCCTCCGCGTTCTCCTTCAAATGCCACTGCGTGTCAGGAATAACTTTTTTTGGCACAAGTTGTTTATTAAATAAAGAAAAGACTCACGCAGCTTCTCCTACCACAGCAAATTCCGTTTTCACTGTTGATATTTGGTGCATGTTAATCAGTAAGTGACGATTTTGTTTTCTTTGACTCATTGGATTTGCACATCTTTTATGCGATAATTCAGTTTTGCGCATATAGTTAATTCACATTTTTGGATGCAAACCGCTATTGTCACCGAAGTCATAGTAGAAGTCATTGTTGTCGTAGTAGTAGTAGTTGTCGTCGTCATTGTAGTTGTAGTAGTAGTAGTCGTCGTCATTGTCGTTGTAGTAGTAGTCATAGTATTCTTTATTGTAGTCGCAGTAGTAGTCGTAGTAATAGTAGTAGTCATTGTCAAAGTCGTTGTAGTCATAGTAATTGTAATAGTAGTTGTAGTCATAGAAGTAGTCATTGTAGTCGTAGTAATATTTGTAGTAGTCGTTGTAGTATTAGTAGTTGTAGTCATAGAAGTCATTGTTGTATTTGTAGTAGTCGTCATTGTAGTAGTAGTCATTGTCGTCGTCGTCATAGTAGTCATTGACGTACTCGAAGTAGTCATTGTTGTAGTTGTCGTAGTAGTAGTCGTAGTAGTAATTGTCATAGTAGTCGTCGTCGTTGTTGTCGGAGTAGTCAATGTAGTTGTAGTCATAGTAGTTGTTGTTGTAATAGAGAAATAAACTTAATTGAATCCCAGAAAACTCTACCAAAGTACTATTTTGAGCATTTATTATTGCAATTTATCTTTTAACTTTTTTTTTTTTGCTGCCTTTGATGAAAAAGAAATGTGTAAGTATTTTTACGATGAGATTAGCAACTGAAATTGAAGATCAAATTTTCTTTCACACTTTCGTTTGTTATAATAAAATTTAAAAAGTTAAGAAAATGAATATGATTTACAATGGTATTCCCTTTTACAGCAGTGTGGAGTTAACAGAGTTTGCAAAAGCTGCAAAAAGAAAACTACAGTCTGTAAGTGCTCTCTGCTTTATTATTGTTCTATTAACATTTTTAAGTAATGTATTAGCATATACTAATTCAGATTATTTTTCATGTATTTTTGATTGGTCTTTCAAATGATACAATATTCCTATTTGCAGAGAAAAATGCAGTGAAACTAGTATCTGTTCTCCCCATGTTCACATGGGTTTCCTCCGGGTGCACCAGTTTCCCCCACAGTCCAAAGGCATGTGGTATAGGTGAACTGAATAAGCTAAATTGGCCGTAGTGTATGAGTGTGAATGTGAGAGTGTATGGGGTTTTTCCAGTACTGGGTTGCAGCTGGAATGGCATCCGCTGCAAAAACATATGCTAGATAAGTTGGCAGTTCATTCCTCTGTGCCACCCTGATAAATAAGGGGCTCAGCTGAAGGAAAGAAAGGAAAATATGTGTAAGTTTAAATATATATGTATGTACAATAAAATATGTGTATGTAAAATATATAAATTGTGACGTGCAAATTTTAGACATCAGTAGCTTATTACGTAAACCCTTTTTACACTTAGTATTAAGATGTTTTTACAGCACCCTGATGTGACTGAATGCATTAAAATAGTCAGAAAAGGCTACCTGCATTTAATCTAGTGACCTGACATGCATTCATTATGCGACATGTTGTGAGAAAGCGCACCAAAAATAAAACTTTCAAATCAAAAGATAAAAATTGAGATTGCTATCCACATATTTTTTTCTTCTGTTTTTACTTGCTTTCTAAGAATAAAAGGGAAGGGTATCAAATAAATATCACAAGTCACATTTGAACACATGCTAATAGCAGATGGAAACCCATAATGAATTTTGGCTGACCACTCGTGCTCAGATCAGTGAAAACGCATGTCATTACCAGGTGGAAACAGAGCATTAGAAAGCTTAAGTGAGCTTGGTGAGCACAGAGGAAACTGTTAGGCTTATTTTTGAAGCAGATGGCCATTAAAGGCCCCAACCCCCAAAACCGTTATCCGTCAGATATTTAGACACTATCTTTAAATGCTGTTTAACCTGTCTTCAGACATGCATGTTTACAGCCATTGAAATAACTCTTAATATCATTGCAGCTCAGCGATCACTTGTTTGAGGAATTGGCAATGGATGTTTATGATGAAGTAGACCGACGAGAGACAGATGCAGGTGAGATAATTGACATTTGATGAACAGATGAAACGATTTACATGTGCAGCATGTGTCACAATGAGCATTTGCTTTGTATCTGGTGCAGTTTGGCTGGCCACTCAGAACCACAGCACCTTGGTAACAGAGACAACAGTTGTGCCTTTCCTTCCTGTCAACCCTGAGTACTCATCAACACGAAACCAGGCGAGTTTTTAATAAACCCTTATGACTTTACCAAAGACTTTTTAACAGGAAATCAAGATTTTGCGCTTCGTCAAGCTACATTTAATAGCACCTTTCATGCAGTGTTAGCGGCTGCAACAAGTGCAACATGCAAAAACTTGGCAGACCAACAGAGATAAAAAGGGGAAATTGCATGAAAACTGTTAGCTTTGACAACCCTGACCACAAAGATGCATGTTATATACAGTACTGTGCAAATGTTTCAGGCCAACATTAAATCTGTTGCATTACTGATGGTGTAATGGATATATATGAACCTTTTCCACAAAACAGTGTACTTTTTATTATTATTTAATTTATTCAGGGTGAATTTATTTCAGTTGATGTATGGCTTATTAGAGTAGAAGTTATTTTAGGTTAGAGTTTGAATTATTTTGGTTAAATTGTTTAAGACGTGTTATAACAGGGCGCGCAAAGTCCGGTAGCCTGACGTCCTGGAGCTTTGCTTTTGACAGCCGAGCTATCAAAATCTATCCTACTTCAACAAAGTTTCTAAGGTTTTTAAAACATGACACTTATTCAGGGACAATTAAAAATTTAACAAACATACATTAATATCTTACCTCAGAATTGTACAGAACTGTAGAGTTTAATTCAGGGTTCATACGCTATTAAAACCTGGAAAAGTCATGGAATTTTGACATGGCATTTTCCAGGCCTGGGAAAATTTGGGAAAATCAGAAAAACCCACAAAGTTTTGGAAAAGACATGGAAAACAGATTTATGTATGCTTGAATATATAGGCTAGCTGTCTACTACTTTTTTGTCCTTGGCCACTTACATACTTTCACATTATTAGTGTGGCGTAAGCATTATCTAAATCAATTTTAAATAGATATAAATATATGCTGAAACTAATTAGATTGTTGTGTGTTTTACGATATGCTTTAATTAATTTGAAAATTTATTGTTTTTTTTACCACGCACATGCATTTGCATGAAACATTAGGTCATAAATATTTACTTGAAAGTCTTGGAAAAATCATGGAAAAGTCATAGAATTTTAGTAGTAAAAATTTATTGATGATTTTTTTTAATGTTTAGAAGTATGAAGGTTTTAATTCATTATGCCATTTCTACTTTAATGGACTTTAGTGGTAATAGTTTTAATTTTCAGTGGTTATAGTTTTCAGCATGATGATCTGCAAATTGAACTGAAATCTTATTTGGAGAAAGAAAACACAGATCAAACACAGACTGTCATTAAATGGCTCCAGCCCTGCATATTATAGAGGCAAAGATATATGACACTCCTAAAGGAAACACTCTGGAAAGTGCTAAAAGAAGCCTGATATTACTTGGGCACATTATTTCAGAAGATGTCAGAGCAATTAGAACAAAATGGTTCAAGTGCTTAGTACCAAGGGAAGCCACATTAAACATAGACTTTTGCTTAAAGAGGAAATGTTTTGCTTCTGTTGTTTTTTGTACATATTTCCTGTATTTTCTGTTTGTTTTTAATAGACTGATTGATTATATAGTGTGCCAAAGTCTTAGGCTAACAAAGCTGGTAGAGTGCTTTGGAATTTCGCACAGTACTGTACATTGTTACAAGTTTATGATGTTTTAAAGGGATGCTGCAACATTTAGGTGAGACAAATGTAATGTGTGCGACAGATCAAGGATGAGGCAGGAATCGATTCTGAATTTAAGCTTTTTACTCAATGGTTTAAACAAAAGATGTAACCGTAATAACGGAAAAACAGATTTACAAGATTCTCTATAAATGAAAACAATGATTGTAAGCCAAATCAAAGAAATTAACAAAACAAATCAATCCTTAAGTCTAACATCTAAACTAGGCTAAAAGTTAACTAATAGCTATTTGCATAATTACAGTTATTAAGCTGAACAGACTCATTTGAGCTGAATAATGACCAATTTACATCAGAATTCGCCTCTTATTTAAAAAAGTTTGCATCGTTTGGTTTTGTGAAATTTCTATTTATTTACTTTTATAGCTTTTTTTTTTTACTTTGCTGGTGCTATTTTATGCAGCTGAGCATCTTTGTCTTTACATTTTTGAAAGACATGTTATGATACCCCTGCATCTTGTTTTAGGTTTGTGCAATCTGTGTAGCAGTTTTTGAATACTAAAGTGTGTGTTCAATTTACGTACATATGATCTGGTTCTTAATCTGTTAGACCAGCTTCACTTTCCGACAATATGCAAATCAAAAAATTATGAAATCATCATTTAATATATATTTTTTATTATTTTCAGGGAAGACAAAAGCTGGCAAGATTCAACGCTCATGAATTTGCCACACTTGTGATCGATATTCTAAGTGATGCAAAGCGACGCCAGCATGGAAATCCAGTCCCAAGTCCTAAAGGTACAGCCTGCCTCCACACCCCCAAACCTTTAGTCTCTAATTTCTTTTGAAGTCCTTGTTAATGTTTCATGAAAGCTTTATTTACTTCTTCATAGACAATGTTGATGTATTCTTCAAAAGTGGGGGCAGTCGTCATGGAAGTGAAAGTCAGGAAATTGACCAGCCAGATTATGACAGCGTGGCGTCCGATGAGGACACCGATACTGATTTACGAATGGGCAAAGCAGACAGAACTAAAGTAAGACTAACGTAATAGTATTATGGTCCCAAATTTACCTGAAGGGGTCAGGACTAAAGCTGGATTTATACTTGTGTCCTCCGCGGCTAGTTGAAAGTTGTCAAGACTTCTATACTTAAAGGTGCAGTATGTAAGTTAGACACCCAGTCGTTGAACTCCTGGATCAAAGCAAACACAAGTGCAGGTTGTCAGATTGAGGAGTGAGTCTGACTTAAGTCGTGTTCTAAATTAAAGCATTGGCACACAATAGAGGGAATATTTTCCATGTTAAAAGGAGTTTTTGTTCCAATCAACACATCAAATTGATATATTAGAAATGACTTTTATTTCTCACAGGTGAACAACAGAAAACTATGACAATGATCACCTCAGGTAAACCTCATGTGCTTTATTCAGTGTTAAATGCTAATAATGTGAGTCTGAATGCCATTTTACATGACATCATTGCCATACTACTACAGAAAGTTCCCCTCAGATATTGAAAATAAAATAAACTGTTTGAAATTGAACTTTAGAACTAAACGCATATGAGCGATTCAGCATCTACAAATAATAATGTTAAAGAGGGTTAATGTGTATTAAAAAGATTATAAACCTTACTATTTCATGAGTGAGTGCACATTCAGTGCTTCTGAATAGCTGTGTTTAAATTTCTGTCGTGTTTCGTCTGGAGCAAACAGCCAATTGCTTATCACTGCAAATCACATTAGATGGCACGAAATTACAATGTAACCTGCTCACCTAATGTTTACTTTCGGAATATTTATATCATTTGCTAATTATTAACCTCATATGTAACTGAATCTGCACCTTATTTCGGAGTCCGCTACTGTCCAACGATCACAGAAGCATGCTTTTAGAGCCTTTCTGAATGAAGGAATTAAATACGTGGTTTTTCACCAAGGCAACCCAGAGTGCTGAAAAATAATTGGCCATTGGGCAGGTTAAATGACCAAAACAAAGACAACCGTTCTGGCATTGTTTCAGGATCGACTTCAGCATTGTTTTCCAGATAAACAAGTATGTTTACTTAGCATGTTTCCTAAATGTCTTTAAACAAATGATGGTATTTTTGTGCTTTAGAAGAGTCAAAAACTTACATACAGCACCTTAAGAGCATTCTCTGTTGTACTATTATTTGTAACATTGAGGCAACACTGAGTAGCTATTGATAAAATCATGGTAGAGTCAGTGCATGGAGTTGCTAAGTGAATGAATGTAAAGTCTTTTCAAGATGCAGCACATTTATCCAGCTCAGCCAGACGTGGCTCAAAAATGTTTTTCAATGATGTTTTTGCCTGCTATTTTCCACATTAGTGTGTATGCTCAAGTTGGCTTCCTTTGTTTAGTCACAAATCATTAATGTTGGCAATAAGCACAAGCAAAAATCATTACTATGTGCATGGGACATGGGACTCAAAATCTTTATTTATTAATATAAAAACCATTTGTATTAAAGCCAATCTGCCAAAATGACCGTTTCTGCAACATTTTTTTTATGTAATAGTGTAGCTAAACTCCATAGAAGAAGAGCACCTGCTTCTACATCGCAGCCTGTTTAGGTTAAAACAATGCCTTGTTTATCCATAAACAAAGAACAACAAAAGAGCTTAACTCAAAGTATATCAGGATCTTTTACCTCAATATGTCTTTGTAACATGTTGTTTGTTGGCTAACGTTTAGCTTTTTTCCTACTCAGAGTCTGGACTCGGATCTCTCCGATGGACCGGTTTCCGTGCAGGAGTTTCTGGAGGTGAAAAACGCACTCTCAGCCTCGGAGGCCAAAATTCAGGAGCTGATGAAGGCCAACAGTAATCTGAATGAAGAGCTGAGATTAATGCAGAAAAAGGTACCAGAGATTCAGCAGTGAGCGCTGAATGTCCTGGTTGAAAGAGCAAAACCCATACTGTCTATCTCCTGCACTCCAACTTCTTCTCGACATTCCGGCTGACCTAAAATTCACGTTATGATTATTAAACGCCTCTGGAATGCTGATGTCAACGTAATCTCGTGATCCCTGCTGTAGTGTTCAAATAACCAGCATGACCTTGACCTCTAAACCACTGGGAAAGATGTTGTCATTGACATAAAGGCATAATATACTGACCATGTCTGAAACTGCAATTTAATTGGCATGCTAACTCCTCTAACCACAAACCTGATCCAGCAGTCAGCTTTTCCATTAGCATGACTCATTTTAATTGGCTGTCTCTATATTGTTGTACATTATGCAGAGGGTTCCAGAATGCAATCAGCTCTGAGATTACACACAAATTCTGTTTGTTAGTCTTTAGTTTCGAGATATCTTTTTTTTTATTATTATTTTCCAATAACCATGAGAACAAATTACTGAGTTGTTTAATGTGATAATAAATGAGTCAAACTGTATTATTATTAAAAGGTTCACCGATAATTCGTGGCTAAGACCTGAACCAAAAACATGAATCGTGGTAAACTTGTTTTTGTGTAGACGTTGGTATTAATAATAGACTTTTTTGTATTATTATTTTGTGAAATTTATTAGTACAATCAAAGTAATTAAAATAATTTAATTTAAACTAATTCAACTATTAAAATGATTTTTTTATTGAAGTATCTCAAAAAATGGACAGTGTTTTAGAAATATGTTGTTTTAGATTCAGGTTTTGTTTGTGAAAATAGAATTTTGTGAAAATGAAAATTGTGGAGGCCAGCTATAGCCTCTTTCACACAGATATTCTAGAAAATACAAAGATCATGCGAATTGACCCCCATGATCATTTGATTTCACACTGCCATTGACTTACTGTTGGGCCAAAACTACAGTATTTTAGGTTGTCTTAAAATCCATAAAACAGACAGTATTTTATTTATACCATTGTTTGTTTTTTTTGACGTTGCAGACTATCAAAACTCAAAATGCAGTTAAACAAACAAGGTAAACTGGGTGCTTTCTTTCAGACTAGAACTCATAAATGCCTTTTTCAGTGACCAAAAAAGGGTTTGTTACATCTCTGGAAGTTACAGCCAGTTTTCTGCTAAATTAGAAATGCTGATTAGTGTACTTTAAAAGTTATGGATGGTTTTGACTCCAAACTACTTTTAACTCTCCCATGAAAAGCCAGCTTAGTGTGTTGCTAAATGTTTAATATACATCTTTTTCTCACCAAATGTGTAGTTTTTTTCCCCAGATGCTAATGTCCATGATTCGAATAATTAGACCTGTGAGATTTGTGTAAGACTGTGTGGCTTTGCATTAGATGAACATCTGACTGGGTAAAATAGAGAGGTTGAAGTCCAGAGGCTCTTTTGCATTTCTCTACTGATTCTGACCAACATGTTTGGCTCGATCTGTCGGTCTCTTCTTTAAGCTTTAGAGTGAGTCTCTGTCTCTCTTTCTCCCTGTAGATTTTTAAGCCTGCCTAATTTGTGCTCGTTCTCTGAGCATGTCTAGACATTGCTTCTGCCAGTGCCTGCATGTAAATCTGGAGTCTTTGCTCTTGAAGTTGTAGTTTATTGCGCAACTCCATTTAATGTTTTCCTAAATGCTTTCGTATTTACTTGTACAATCTTAACTTTTAATTGACCTTTCTGATTTTAGCTGATATTTGCCATAAATTGTCAAATACTACAGTAATTAGTTTTATAGAAAAAGTAAATATCCTATATTTATGTATGGAAAGTTGTTTTAATTTGACAATTTATTTTGTTATTGTGCAAATTTGATAGTTTTTTATTTTAGATTCATCTTAAACCCACAAACCCAGTACTGCAAGATTGTGAATTAGCACTTCAGAAAAATTTGATTACTGTAGTACATCTTATATACCTAATAATATTGCCATTTCAGCTGGCTAATTGGTCAAAAACAGGATCTGATTAAAAGGTTAGTTCACCCAAAAATGAAAATTCGAGTTATTTATTACTCGCCCTCATGTCATTCTAGTCCCTTGAGGTCTTTGTTCATTTTGGGAACACCAATTAAGATGTTTTTAGTTAAAATTTGAGAGCTCTTTGTCCCTCCATAGGCAGCTAGGATTATGAGATGTTTAAAGACAAGAAAAGGAACCAAAAACGTTGTCAAAACATTTAACTGTAACCATACAAATCTACAAGAACACTTTTGTGTGCCAAAAAACTGTAAAAATTACTTGATTCATCAATGTCTTTAATGTCCGCTTCAAGGGATCATCTAAAATATCTTAATTTGTGTTTGGAAGATGAACAAGGGTCTCAGGGGACTAGAAAGACATGAGGGTAGGCAATTAATAACAGAATATTCTTTTTTAGGTGAACTAGCTCTTTAATGTCCAGATAAATGGACTGTATCCATGCAGACTTGGATTGTTTGCTGTTAAAATTGTATTCATTCAAGGTATTCATTAAAATCCTCTGTTAATATATTTGCCCCTGGCCATCCAAGGTATAGATTTTTTTAGCTGAAACTAAGTTTAAATATTTCAAGGTAAATCGAAAATGATTGTTCAATTGTAAATTATTAAATCCTAAAACCAAACGTAGGCTGATTTATAGAGATAGTTCACCTGAAAATGAAGCTTTACTTAACATTTGTTCACACTTCAGCATTTTAAAGCTCTCCAAGTTTTCTTCCTTAGATATTTTAACAGTTGATGGTAGTTATTGACTACATAATACATACTCCTAAATATTAAATTCAACTGCTAGCTTTAGCTCACACCTATGAAAGGTGAGTTAATGATAACTGAATCTAATTTTTGGCTGAACTATCCATTTTCGTTTGGTGGGAGCACTTTTAGCTTAGCTTAGCATAGATCATTAAATCGGGTTCGACCATAGCATCTAACTTAATTTTTTTTTTTAAAAAGACTCTTGCCAGAACCAGAGATCTGAAATGGGAAAACTCAACTGCTTAACTATAAAATGGCTATACCCCCTCAATAAAAAAAATGCTAGTTTAAAAGTGTCACGGAAATTGATTGTTTAGTCAAAAATGCCCATTTCCCCAAAAAAAAGAAAAAGTGGTGCTCCTTTAAGTGGTTGTTTTTGAACCGAACACTGTTATTTATTCATTAATTGACCTATTTTTCCCCCCTGTGAGCTCAGCTTTGCTCTAGTTTCTGCTTTTCTTTGCGTTTCTCTGGCTTACTGGTGTTTCTCTTCAGCTGCAGTCTCTGCAAAGCGAGAACAGCTCTCTGAGGCGGCAGGTCTCCGCTCAACAGCCCTATCAGGCCCCCGGCGGCCCTGACCATCCCAATCCCTCCAGTCCCTCCTCCTGTTCCTCCTCCTCCTCTTCCTCCTCTGCCCTGAAACGCCACCTGTCTGCGCGCGCCAGTCGCCCCATGTCTATGTATGAAACCGGCTCTGGCCTGAAGCCCTTTCTTCCCAAGGGCGAGACCCCTTACCCTGAGGAAACCTTCCCCACCCTGCAACCCTTCCCAGCCTATGTAAGTAAAGACCTGCCTCTCGCTGCCTTTTTCCTTCTTCATTTTTCCTTTTCTAACGTTGCCGCATGCATGTTCCAGTTCTTGGAGCTTCATGAATTTTCAAATTTGTGAAAGAAAGGTTTATGGTTACTCAAAATATTACTTCAGTTTCCTGTTGCATCCCATAGCATCAGTTTAACAATATTTGTTACGTGTTTTAGTTTCATGTGTCAGTTGAGAGTTACATACAAAGCATGTGTTTATGGCCGACCCAATGCACAAGAAACACAGTCCCATTCTCACTGCTCTATGTATCATGATGTCATTTTAAAGGCATGGTTTTATTATTTAGCATTTCAAGTTAAAGGGAAAAAGTGCACTAAGCACATTTTATTTGTTTGTTTTTCTGACCAAAAATGTTAGGCAAGTGTCCAATAATTGTGCTTTTCCTGAGATAAAGTAAATTGTATTTGGCTGCTTAATATGTTCCGTATAAAATGAGATGAAACTAGACTTCACTCGGTGCACATCATGTTTTTCTAAAGTATTAATGTGATTGTTCACTCAGAAACAAAAATGTTATCATCTTTGGTTCCCACTGATTTCCATAGTATTTTATTTACTACTATGTTATTATTATTATTTGTTTTGGAAATGGCCATTTTACAACTCGCCTAGAGTTAAACAGTTGAGTTTTACCATCTTTAAATACATTCAGCTGATCTACAGGTTTGTTTGGGCACTTTTAGCTTTCTTAGCCTACATGTAGATCATTGAATAAGATTAGACCATTAGCATCTCTTTCAATTTTTTTTAAAAAAGACTCTTGCCAGACCCAGAAATCAGTTTATTAGATTAAAAAAAAGAAGAAAAAAAAAACTTGTTTATGGCCGACCCAATGCACAAGACACACAGTCCCATTCTCACTGCTCTGTGTATCATGATGTCATTTTAAAGGCATGGTTTTATTTTGCATTTCAAGTTAGAGGTAAAAGTGCACTAAGCAAATTTGTTTTTGTTTGTTTTGCTGAGCAAAAATGTTGGACCATTGTCCAATAATTGGGCTTTTCCTGAGATAAATCATGTTTGACTGCTTAATATGTTCCATATAAAGTTAGAAAAACAGGACGAGTCTTGATCTTTCTAAAGTATTAATGTGATTGTTCACTCAGAAAAAAAAAATGCTATCATCATTGATCCCCATTGATTTCCATGGTATTTTATTTACTACCATTGTATTTTGTTTGTGAAAATGGCTATTTTACATCTCCCCAGAGTTAAACAGTTGAGTTTTACCAATTTTGAATCTATTCATCCGATCTACGGTTTTGGTTGGGCACTTTTAGCTCGGCTTAGCATAGATCATTGAATCTGATTAGAAAGTTAGCATCTCAGTCTAAAAAAAAATTTATAAGACTCTTGCCAGACCCCAAGATCAGTTGAATGGATAAAAAAAATTAAAAAACTAATTTATGGCTGACCCAATGCACAAGACACACAGTCCCATTCTCACTGCTCTATGTATCATGGTCATTTTAAAGGCATGGTTTTATTGTTTTGCATTTCAAGTTAGAGATAAAAGTGCAATTGGCAAATGTTTTTGTTTGTTTTGCTGACCACAAATGTTGGAGTAGTATCCAATGATTGGGTTTTTCCTGAGATAAAGTAAATCCTATTTGGCTGCTCAATATGTTCCGTATAAAAAAGGAAAAAAACAGACTTAACTCTGAGCACATCATGTTTTTTTAAAGTATTCATGTGATCGTTCACTCAAAGCAAAAATGCTATCATCATTGGTTCCTATTGATTTTCATAGTATTTTATTTACTACTATGGTACTCAGTTGGGACCAGCCATTCACATTTTTCCAAAATATCTGCAGTTGACGACATACATTTCAGTTTTAGGTGGACTGTCTCTTAAATTTACTCATCCTTCACTTGTTTCAAATCTATTTGAGTTTCTTTCTTCTGTTGAAAGAAAGATATTTTGAGAAATACTGGATGCCGGGACCCATTGACTTTGATAGTACTGAACATTCTTTAAAATATCTTCTTTTGTGTTCAACAGAAGAAAGAAATCATAAAACCAACATGAAGGAGAGTAAATGATGGTCATTTTCATTTTTGGGTGAACTATCGCCTTTAGAATTGTTTAGGATTATTTAGTCTGAAAGGTTGCTTGGTGCACTTTTGAAGTGATATTGATATTGTTTTCAACCACAGAAATATGTTTTGTACATCACGGCTACTCTAGATTGTACATTTCAGTATCAACTTTTGTGTGAAATGCCACGTTTTATTTTCAGTTGTCCTTTATGCAATGTATGTTCCGATTCCATTTCTTTTCTTCATTATTTACTATGGAATGTTGATATTAAAAACAATGTTTTAACCCTATGGCTTTTCATTGCTTTTACTACATATTAATGCTGCTGATCATTTAAAAATGCATGTAAATGTTGCGGCTGTTCAAACCTCATTTATCTGTCATTATTTAACACTTGCATAAAAATACATATCTGTATGAAACTTGCTAAACCATTTTACACTAAAGATTCATCTCTTGCCATTAGCTCATTCATCAAAGTAACAATGAACACATTTACAGCGTTATTAATCTAGGTTATTGTTCATTTGTCGCTGGTTGAATTGGATAAGCTAAATTGGCCGTAGTAGATGTGTGTGAATAAGTGTGTATGGGTGTTTCCCAGTGATGGGTTGCACCTGGAAGGGCATCTGCTGCATAAAACAAATGCTGGATAAGTTGGTGGTTCATGTTGCTGTGGTAACCCCTGATTATTAAAGGGACTGAGCCGAAAAGAAAATGAATGAATTAATGTTCTTAATATACAATGATATTTGTTTATAAAAATAAATGACTATTAATTAGTTAAACTAATCACTAGAAAATTAACTACTGTTAATATAATAACTATATAAAAATAATAATATAGAAATAAATATTTTAATTGTAGGAAGTTGTAGGAAGTTTTTTTTTTTTTTTTTTTTTTACATCCTAAAATACATTTTAAAATAAATGTTATCCTTACAATAAATGTATTGATATATTAATAATGTGTTGATAAATAATGACTGTATTTTTGATCCTATAAATGCAGCATTGGTCAGCATAAATAGTAGCATTTATTATGTTGGATTGTTGTTCTATTGTGATGATTTATAATGCAAATTAATGTCAAAGAACCCAATCTTGTTGGAAAATGCAAACCAATAATTACTGTTAACTATTGCTTGTGTGTTAATTTGTTGAAAGGAATAGTGCATTAGAAATTACTCAGTTTATTGTACTAATCCTGCATGTCTAAATTTGTGTGTGTACAGTCAAAGTCTTTAATTATTAGCCCTCCTTTAAATTATTATTAATTTTTTTATATTTAACATTTAGAGAAGATTTTGTTTTTAAGAACAGTAATAATAACTTATTTCTAATGACAGTACCTGATATTTATCAAGAGACTATATTGAGCTTAAAGTGCAAATTAAAGGCTTAACTATGTTAATTAGGCAAGTACGGTTAATAAGGCAAGTCATTGGACAACATTGTTTTATTCTGTAGCCAATAGGAAAATATATTTCTTAAAGGGGCTGATAATATTGACCATGAAATCAGCTTTTAACATTTTTTACCAGTTTTTATTCCAGCAAAATTAAAACTAAACGTTTTCCTGCAGAAGAAAAAATATAGGAAATACTGTGAAATTTCCCTTGGAAATATGTGAAAAATATTATTTTTTAATTCACAGGAGAGCTAATAATTCTGTCTTGAACTGTGCTCATGTGTACAGTAGTCAACATTTAAAGTGTATCAAAAAGATATTAAAATGGATTAAAGCTATTGAATGACACTCTCATTATAGGACAATTAAAACATTTTTTTTTTTTTTTATCCACGTCAAATGTTAACTACTACTGTATATAAATATATGCACATGGGGAAAAAAAGAGACCACTTGGATATTTCCGACTTCAAAAAGATGCCATGTTTCAGACATGCTTTTATTAATTGTTAGACAATTATTGTTTTAACATCAATAATAATTGAGAAATCATTATTTGGTGGAGTAGCCATGATTTTTCATTCACAGCCAATGAAAACATTTATTAGTTAGCCAATTATAATTTTTAGAGAATTTATTTACAACTTATAACGATACGATCACCTTTCTAGAAAGAACCAAATACTAACAGTTGACACAAACCCAAGCCTCATTAATCCAGAGAAAATCTTTTGATTTGTGTGTGTGTTTGTGTGTTTGTGTCTGTGTGTGTGTCTGTGTACAGTTGAAGTCAGAATTATTAGCCCCCCACCCTGTATATTTCCCCAATTTCTGTTTAATGAAAAGAAGATCTGAAGAGTTCAGATGCAAAAACTTCTAAATGCCGTCTGAAATTTTCCTCTAAAATGAGCATTATTATCAGGCTCCTGTGTGTAGGTTCAGTAATATCACTTTTATGGGAAAGAATAAGTCCTTTTCCTGGACATAAAGTAGGGCTGAGAAAAAAATTATTTATTTTTTAATGGAAATTTCAGATGGTACTTAGAGATTTTTGCATCTAACCTCTTCATTTTTAACACCTTTCTAAACCTAATAGTTTTAATAGCTCATTTCTAACAGCTGATTTCTTTTATCTGTCATGATGACAGCACAATATTTTAGTGGATATTTCTCAAAATGCTAGTATTTAGCTTAAAGTACAAATTTAAGGCTTAACTAGGTTGATTAGGCAAGTTGGGGTAATTAGGCAAATCATCGAATTACGATGGTTTGTTCTGTAGACACTTAAAAAAAATGCTGCTTAAGAAGACCACTAATTTTGACCTTAAAATGTTTTTTTAGACATTAAAAAACTGCTTTTATTTTAGCAGAAAAGAAACAAAATCTCTTCAGAAGAAGAAATATTAAATGTAAGAAGTTCCTTGCTCTGTTAAACATCATTTGGGAATTTATTGAAAAAAGAAAACAAAATTCACTAGAAGTATAACCATCTGCACACACC